AGAGGCGCCACGAAACCTGGGGAGACATCATGGCCCGCGCCATGAGATCCACCCCCCCCTAGTCATCACCCCCCTCTTTTCCGCCCCCGACCCTGCCCAGCTCCCACCGGCGTGGCTCCGCGATGCCACCGCGAGTACAGCGCCCTCTGGTGCTGCTCTTGCTGCAGCCGTCGCGCCACCACGGAAGAGCGCCGAAGGAGGAACGAGGAACGAGGGGGCTCTTCTGGCCACGGCTGGCCTCGGCCACGAGTGGTAGAAGAAGAAGAAGGGGGAAAAACGCCATTAACAGAAATAATAACAATACTAACAATAATAATACTAATAATAACATTACTAATAATAATACGAATAATAATAATTATTATAATAATAATAATACTATTAATAATGATAATAATAAGAAGAATAATAATAATACTAATAATAATAATAATAATAAAAGTAATAAGAGTGATGATAATAATAAACAAGAAGAGTAGTAAGAATAATAACAAAACTAATCAGAATAGTAACAAGAAGAAAAAAAGGAAAACAACGCCATTAACATAGACTTTTGGCGCTCCGCGCGGATTTCTCGGATCCGCGCTGTGACCCCCCTCCCTGGCGCGCGGAGCGCGCCAGGGGCGGCGCCGGAGGCGCCGCCGCCGGGGAGGCCCTGCGCGGGTCCAAGAAATCCGCGCGGAGCGCCAAAAGTTGATGTTTATGTGATTTTGTGAGCGTTGTTTTATTCGGCGTTTCGACATTGGGCGGAAGGGGGGGAGAGGGGGGTGCCTGGCTCCGGACCTCTGCTAGTGCGACTGTTTCTAGCAGTGCGTCGTCCTATGGGGGAGAGGCCCCACCTGCTCGAAACAGGCGCCAAACACAGCCAAGATCTACTCCACCAGGGGGGGGGACGGGGGGTGCAAGGGCCCGCGCCGATCGGCAAAACAATGAATAATTACCCTGGCGACGTACCCGACCCCTGCGCAATGCGGGGCATGAGTAGCTTGGGAGACGTTATACGAAGGTGATGACGTGACATGGGCGCATATACTTCTGCGAGCGGCATTCGTGAGGCTCGCAGCCCCCCAGGGATGGCGAGGTCCCGCTCAGATCTGCGTGGTGCCTCACTCCGCTGGACCCGCCACCAGCCTTCGAAAGTGGCGACAGTTTCGCAGATCGCAGCCCCCCAAGGACGGCGAGGTCCCGCTCAGATCTGCGCAGTGCCTCATTCCGCTGGACACGCCAGCAACTCTTGAAAGTGCCGACGGTTTCGCGGATCGCAGCCCCCCTGGGACGGCGAGGTCTCGCCCAGATCTGCGCGGTGCCTCACTCCGCTGGAGCCACCAGCAGCCCTCGAAAGTGGCGACAGCTTCGCAGATCGCCATGCTGGCCCCCCAGCAGCCCTCGAAAGTGGCGACAGCTTCGCAGATCGAAGCCCCCCAGGGATGGCGAGGTCCCGCTCAGATCTGCGTGGTGCCTCACTCCGCTGGACCCGCCACCAGTCTTCGAAAGTGGCGACAGTTTCGCTGATCGCAGCCCCCCAAGGACGGCGAGGTCCCGCTCAGATCTGCGCGGTGCCTCACTCCGCTGGACACGCCGGCAACTCTTGAAAGTGCCGACGGTTTCGCAGATCGCAGCCCCCCTGGGACGGCGAGGTCTCGCTCAGATCTGCGCGGTGCCTCATTCCGCTGGAGCCACCAGCAGCCCTCGAAAGTGGCGACATCTTCGCAGATCGCAGCCCCCCAGGGATGGAGAGGTCAAATTCTGATCTGCGGTGGGTACCCTCTCTGCTGGCCTCCCCAGCAGCCCTCGAAAGTGGCGACAGTTTCGCTGATCGCAGCCCCCCAGGGACGGCGAGGTCAAATTCTGATCTGCAGTGGGTACCCTCTCTGCTGGCCTCCCCAGCAGCACTCGAAAGTGGCGACAGCTTCGCAGATCGCAGCCCACCAGGAATGGCGACGTCTAATTCTGATCCGCGGTGGGTACCCTCTCTGCTGGCCTCCCCAGCAGCCCTCGAAAGTGGCGACAGCTTCGCAGATCGCAGCCCCCCAGGGATGGCGAGGTCTCGCTCAGATCTGCGGTGGGTAGCCTCTCTGCTGGCCTCCCCAGCAGCCCTCGAAAGTGGCGAGAGTTTCGCAAATCGCTGCCCCCCAGGGATGGCGAGGTCAAATTCTGATATGCGGTGGGTAGCCTCTCTGCTGGCCTCCCCAGCAGCCCTCGAAAGTGGCGACAGTTTCGCAAATCGCCCCCCCCCCCAGGGATGGCGAGGTCTGATTCTGATCTGCGGTGGGTACCCTCTCTGCTGGCCTCCCCAGCAGCCCTCGACAGTGGCGACTGTTTCGCTGATCGCTGCCCCCCAGTGATGGCGAGGTCAAATTCTGATCTGCGGTGGGTGCCCACTCTGCTGTCCTCCCCAGCAACCCTCGAAAGCCGCGACAGTTTCGCTGATCGCAGCCCTAACCCCAGACCCACGATAATAATGTACCCCCCCTACACGAGAAAACGAGGCAGATGAGCTACCCTACACGAGCAGGTGAACACCTTAATTTCCGTTAAGCGCTTACAACAAATCTAATAGGTTTCGTTTGGACGGTCCTCGACGAGCACGCTCGCCGAGGACCGTCCAAACGAAACAAACACGTTCTGTGAAGACGTCTCAAGCGAAACGAGCAGTAAAAAGGAACTCTCAAGCGACGCAAACAAATATTCCGAGGATGTCTCAAGCGAAACGAGAGATTTGTCGAGGATGTCTCAAGCGAGACAAGCCATTGTTGAGGATGTCTCAGAAAGTACAAAAAAGCCAAGGGTGTCTCAAGATATCCTCGGCTTTGGCTCCTCTGTTATTATCTTTATGCTGGCCTATGGTGGATACTTTTATTATCGCACCGTAACCGCCGAACTTTATTATCCCAAGGGGTTTATTATCGGCTGTTTGGGGTTACTTTCCAGGGCTGGCGAGGTCCGCACAAGGCAACAAGAGACAACGAGAAGGCGGGCGACGGGAGGCGGGAGGCGGGAGAAGAAGGAGGTGAAGGACGCGACCGAGGTGCTCTATTCGAAACGAATACCCAACCATCGGGAGCGGCCAAGAGGGGGGTGTCCAAGAGAGGGGGGTGCAAATCATGACCAGCGGGGTGTGCGCGGCACAGCGGGGGGGACAGGGACGTCATGAGAGAAGACGAGGCGCCGTGAAATCTGGGGAGAAATGTCATGGCCCACGCCACGAGATCCCCCCCCCCCTAGTCATCACCCCCCTCTCTGCCGCCCCCGAAACCCAGGAGGGCTGGGACAAACCAGCACCTGCTCTTCCTCGAGAGCAGGCTCCCCGACCCAGATCCGAGGAGCGGCCCGTCGGCCCGAGCCCCTCCCGAGGCCAAGGCGGTCCTCCTCTCGGCGTCACGGCTGCAGCCCGGCCCCGCGATGCCACGCGGCGGCGGCGGCCCCAGCTGCTGCTTAGCTTGCGCTGCCTGCCTGCCCGTGGTGAGCGCTCTTCTCTTGATGTAAAAACGACGCCGGATTCGGCGATTTTTCGCCACCCCTCACGAGGATCGTGGCCTCCGAGGGGGTGGCTGCAATCGACTACCCCCCCTCCCGCCCCAAGGGGCCCCCGAGAGCCCCCTAAGAGGCCCCAGGGGAGCCCAAGACGCCGCCAAGGAGCCCCAAGGCGCTCCCAAGAAGCCCTCAAGAGGCCCCCAAGACGGCCCCAAGAGGCCCCTGGGCGAAGGGATTCAAGTACTAAAAACGACGCCAGATTCGGCGATTCGACATTGGGCGAATCGCCGAGTTCGAATCGCCAGATGCGGCGATTCGACGTTGGGCGGAAGAGGGGGGGGGGGAGGGGGCTGGGGTCCTGGCTCAGGACCTCCGCTTCGTGCGGCTGTGTTGCGGCAGTGCGTCTATGCTGGGTGGGGCTCCGCCTGCCCGAGACAGGCGCCAAAAAAAACGGCCAGGATCCACTCCATGGGGGGGGGAGGGGGGGAGGCGCGAGGGCCCGCGCCGAGCGGCCGAACAGTGCATAACAAAAACGATCACATGGTGTCAAGGCCGGCGAAGCCGTCGCGGCAACGGCGTACCAGGCCGGCTCTGCAGAAAAAACGAACAACGAAACAACGAAACACGACGCAGAGCGAAACGCTTGGCCCGCCCCATCGTCTGCCAATGCTTGGCGGAAACGTTCGAAACGAAAACAAAGCGCGCTTCAAACGAAAGACCTAACTAACATTTGTTATGTTAAACATGTGTTAAACACTTTTTTTTATTATATATAACAAAAAAACAAGCACACACTTTGAAACATTCTTATAACATTATTTACCTACAGAAACCTTGCTGGAAAAAAAAACATTAAGAAACATTTTTTACAACTAAAAACAAACAGGTAACAAACATGGTTTATGTGAAACAGCGTGTTCGCCCGGCGCCGGTTCTCTGCGCGTGCCTCCGGCCCGCGCGGAGCCTCCCGCTGCTCCCCGCGCCGAGCCCGCCCTGCTGGCCCGCCTGCCCGGGCGGGCGTGCGCCGTGGCGGGCATCTCCCGTGCGCCGCTGCCCTCGGCTTCGGACGCCAGAAATCATCGGGGGTGGGCAGAACCCCCAACAGTGACACGTCGATTAGTGAATTGTCCGTTTTCGGTTCTCGAGAGGGCGCCGTGGCCGTCATTTTCCAGGCTTGCGCCCGCCAGGTTTGGACCTCAGGTCGTTTTCACTGAACCACGTTTACTAAAGGGGGGTCTGTCCATCCCCGAAGTAATCGAAAATCGTCCCCAAACTATTTTCTGCCTACTTCTGGACAGTCCTCCTGAAGAGAGACACGCCCGACTTAAAATCGGCGAGTGGCCCCCGATGCCCACCCGGCCCGGTTTTGGACACCCGAAATGGGTACCGAGAGAATGGGCACAATGCCCAACAGCAAATGCTGTCCCAAGCCAACAGCGGCCGCTGCTGGGCAGGCGGCCTTCCGTCTCGAATGGACACAGGCCGCGGCGGCGTGGACAGCGAATCCGGTTCAAAATGAACAGGGACTGCTGTTGGGCATCGTTCCCATTCTTGCCGTACCCATTTCGGGCGTCCAGATCGGACGCTGTTCCCGAACGTTGGCATGCACGACCGGCGTGTGTGGGGTGCCCGCAGTCCGTCGGCTCAGCGCGAAGGCTCCGATCGCGGGGCGGGGCCCGTGCGGCAACCGCCGTCCGAACAGCGATCACGTGGCATACAAGCGTGTGAGGCGCTGGCAGGGCATCACGCATGACGTCTGCGAAGAACTGCAGTGCATGCACAAGTGCGGGGACAGAGGCGCAGAGATGTGGTCAGAGATGGCATCTGAGATGACGGACGAGGGAAGTGAAGGACAAAAGGGAGATGTCGGCGCCACTCCACATCACATGCCATCGCCAAGTGGTCCGACCCATACACCTCGTTGGGAAGGCCGCCATAATGCCTGATGGGAATCACAACAAAGCATCAAGGAAGCCGAAGCGGCTGCAACAAGGAATGCCCACGAGGTCCGCCGAGGATCCTCTTCCTGCTTAAAGGAAGCTGAGTCCTCCTACTCCTCCTCCTCCTCCTCCTCCTCCTCCTCCTCCTCCTCCTCCTCCTCCTCCTCCTCCTCCTCCTCCTCCTCCTCCTCCTCCTCCTCCTCCTCCTCCTATTCCTCCTCCTCCTCCTCCTCCTCCTCCTCCTCCTCCTCCTCCTCCTCCTGGTCCGAGGAGGGCCCTTCGCTCGATCAGACCTTTGTGGGGGATGCTTGCTCTGATGGGAGTGTGGCCAAGAATGGCCACTCCTGGTTTCATGCGCCTGGTTGGACCCTAATCCAGCTGAGGCCTGACCCAGACCTCCTCGCGTCGTGAAAAAATCACGACGGGAGGTTTTTCGCTATTTTCGGCCTCCGGGGGCCCTCGCCGGGCCTCGGGACCGTCAAAAAACGACTCGGGACGAAAAACCGGTCCGGGGGAATGGGTCGGGACCTCTGGGGGTCGCGTCATGAAAAAATCATGACGTCGGGGGTCTGGGGACGTCTCACTGTCTAGTTTCCTATCGGGCCCCTCGGGAGCTGGCCTTCCAGCGTCGTCGCCAGGAGCTGAATTCCTAGCCTGCCCTGCAGCCAGCCAGTGCAGTGCTACCACCAGGATCCAAGCTGACTATAAAAGGGAGTTCTAGATTTTTACTACCTCCACGATGTCGCGAGTAGGAAAAGTAAGTTTGACGGTGGTGGATCCCTGGCCAAACGAGGCGAAGCCAGCCGAGATGGAGGATTGCAATGGACAAGGTGGATAATCACATAATGTCAACTCACCACTCCTCTGACCAATAGTAGCATGCCACGAAAGACTCGGAGGCCGACCGTGTGGCCGAAGGGGGCTGCTGCTGCTGAGCTCCCCCCAGCCATCGGACATAAACTTTTTGCGCTCCGCGCGGATTTCTTGGATCTGCGCTGGGCCCGCGCGCCATGGGCGGCGCCGGAGGCGCCGCCGGGGGGGCCCAGCGCGGATCCAAGAATTCCGCACGGAGCGCCAAAAGTTTGTGTTTACGGTGTTTTTTTTTCTTCGAACGATATCCTCATAAAGCTGAGTTCCCCAAGAGGCTCACGAGGCTCCTCAAATACGCTCCTGAGGCCCTCGCCCCTTTGAGCATCGTTTATCCGATCCCTGTCCCCAGCGGCGTGGCCTGGGCCCCACTGGCCGATCTACCCCCCTAGATGAGGATATGCGCCGCTCCTTCGGGTTTCGAGGGGCGTATCCCCAACTGGGGGGGCAATTTGGTGAGGGTCTCGAAGGGGACGGGGATGGGGATGGGGGTCGTGAGACGATGCTGACCCCTGGCCCACCGTGGCCCCCGAGGGTGGGGGGACGCAAGAGACTGGAGGCCCCTGCCAGAGCCAACAAGGCCTGCGGCACAGGTGCCGCGTCCGCCTCGGCGGTCGTGGCACGATGAAGGGGCTCTGGGACACACAGATAAATACACGCAAATCACAAGACTCCCTATACTTCTCGATTTTTTTCTGGAGCTTCGTCTTCCCCCCCACTTCTCAGATTTTCGCATAATCTTCATGGGAATCGACGATCAAGTGTGTGTCTGTGGTTTTCCCCTCGTGACACACAGGGCGCCTGGAGACGGGTCCCGTGATCCTGGATTCTTGGGGGGGGGGGGGGTGGTCGCAGACTCTCTCGGGGCGGCTTCGTGCCGCGGCGCTGTGCCGCAGTGTGCTGCGACGCGCCGTGTGCAGCGTGCACCGCGCCGCGCGCAGCGCGCAGCGTGTGGCATGGAGCACGGGGCACGCAGCGTGCGGCGCGCCGCGTGTAGCACGCAGCGTGCAACGTGCCGAGTGGCTCGTGCGGCGCGGGGCGTGGAGCCCGTGCAACGTGCGGCGTGCCGCGTGCAGCGCGTAGCATGCAGCGTAGAGCGTGCGGCGTGGAGCGTGCGGCACGCATGAAAGCTTCCGGAAGACTTGGCGGGCTCGACTTTCGCGCCCGTCAGGCTGTCGGCACGAAAGCTGAACGCGTGAGGCTGGGCGGGAGATGAGCGGGAGCTGCACTGGGCAAATCGGACCCCTGAGGGTCCGAATTTGCAGCTAGCTGGGGCTGGGAGCTGGGCGAGAGCTGAGCGGGAGTTGCATTGGGCAAATCGGATCCCTGAGGATCCGAATTTGCAGCTAGCTGGGGCCAGGAGCTGCGCGGGAGCTGAGCGGGAGCTGCATTAGGCAAATCAGACCCCTGAGGATCCGGATTTGAAGTTAATTCGGGCAAGAAGCTGGTTGTGAGCTGAGCTGGGCAAATCGGACACCTGAAGGTCCGAATTTGCAGCTAGCTGGGGCCAGGAGCTGGGCGGGAGCTGCAGTGGGCAAATCGGACCCCTGAGGGTCCGAATTTGCAGCTAGCTGGGGCCTGGAGCTGGGCGAGAGCTGAGCGGGAGTTGCGTTGGGCAAAGCGGACCCCTGAGGGTCCGAATTTGCAGCTAACCGGGGCCGGGAGCTGGGCGGGAGCTGAGCGGGAGCTGCAATTGGGCAAATCGGACCCCTGAGGGAATTTGCAGCTAGCTGGGGCCGGGAGCTGTGGGAGGGCTGATCGGAAGCTGCATTGGGCAAATCGGACGCCTGAGGGTCCGATTTTGCCCGTCTAACTGCCCTGATAGTCCGGTTTTGCAGCAAGCTGTGGCGGAAGCTGGGCGGGAGCTGAGCGGGAGCCGAGCAGGAGCTGCATTGGGCAAATCGGATCCCTGGGAGCTGGGGGGGGAGCTGGGCGGGAGCTGGAGGAGTCTTCAGTTTTGTATGCAAAAATGTCAACTTGCACGACAGCTTACCCGGCAGCTTACGCAAACACTTACGCAGGCATCTTGCGCAGCTATGCCGGGGCAGTTGAACCGAGTTTGTTGCATCGCTCAATTGTAATCAAATAGAACTGCCCATTGCAACCCAACAGAGGCCCATGCGTGTGTTTGTGTCTGTGTTTGTTTGCTCCGCGTTTGTGCGTGTGTTTGCGCTTGCGGTTGCGCTTTGCGTCAGCATTCAGAAGGACGTCCTGGCAGAGAGAGAGAGAGAGAGATATAAAGAATGAGAAATATGATTTGTCCTTTTGTTTGGCCGACAGAAAGGAACCACCGGAGAACCAGGGAGAGCCAAGATCACAGGACCGGTCTCCCGCCGGGAGGGGGGGTCCGAAACCCCCACCCCCACCCTTTCAAAGGGGGGGGCTCGAACCCCACCCATCCCTGAAGGGAGGGAGTGGGTGTGCGAGCACGGTGGCGTTTTGTTTCGCTCGCTTTCTTTTCGCTCGCTTCTTTTGTCGCTCGTTTTTGTTCCCAACCATCCTGTGGTGTTGGGTCCTCGTTTTGAAGGAGAGGGCGTGATCCACCGCCGCTTTACTGTGGAAAATTCCCCCCCCTCTTCCTCCGGAACCCGGGGGTCTCCCCGCCCCCTCCAAAAATCCCCCTCCCCTCTGCCGAACCCCCCCCCTCTCCCTCCCACCGGTTCGACACCCCCCCCTCCGGAAAACCGGGGGGGGGTCACTACCGGCTCGAAATCGCCCCCCCTTTCGAAAACCAGGGGGGGGTCACCTCTGGTTCGAACCCTCCCCCTCTCCCCCCCTTCCCCCTTCCCGAAAACCGGGGGGGGGCAACTACTGTTCCCACCACCGTCTCCGCTGTCCCCACCAGTGCCCCCACCACTGTCGCACTGTCCCCACTGTCCCCACCACTGTTCCCACCACGGTTCCACTCTCCCCACTTTCTCCACGGCCCCAACCACTGTCCCACTGTCCCCACTGTCCCACTGTCCCCGCTGTTCCCACCACTATCCCTAATTACTGTCCCCACCACTGTCCACACTGTACCTCTGTCCTATTGTCCCACCGCCGTCCTCGCCACCGCCCTCGCCACTGTCCCCACCACCACTGTACCCTCCACTGTCCCACTGTTTCCACCACAATCCCACTGTCCCCGCACCACTTTCCCAACCACCATCGTCCCCTGTCCCACTGTCCCCACTGTTCCCACCATTGTCCCCGCTGTCCCCACCAGTGCCCCCACCAGTGTCTCACTACCCCCACTTTCCCCACCATTGTTCCACCACGGTCCCACTCTCCCCACTTTCACCACGGTCCCCACCACTGTCCCACTGTCCCCACTGTACCCACCACTGTCCCACTGTCCCCGCCGCTGTCCCACTGTTCTGTCCCACCGTCCCCACTGTCCCCATCACTGTCCCGCTGTCCCCACTGTCCCCACCACTCTCCCCACTGCACTACTGTCCCACCACAGTCCTCGCCACCGCCTTCACTACTGTCCCCGCCACTACCGTCCCCACCACTGTCCCACTGTCCCCACCACTGTCCCGCTGTCCCCTCACCACCGTCCACACCACTGTCCGCACCACTGTCCCACTGTCCCCGCACCACTGTCCCCACCACCACCGTTCCCACCACTGTCCCAGCATCCCCACCATTGTCCAACTGTCCCGAGGAGCGGGGATCGTTTGCCGGCGGCGAAGGGTGGGGGAGGGGGGTTCGAACCAGTAGTGACCCCCCCGGTTTTCGAGAAGGGGAGGGGGGGGGTTCGAACCGGTAATGACCCCCCCCTTTTCATAATGGACTGGGAGGGAGGAGGGGTTCGAACCGGTAGTGACCCCCCCAGTTTTCGAGGGGGGGGACGGGTTGGGAACCCCCAGTGACCGCCCCCCAGTTTTCTGCCAGCAGCGGTAGAACACGCTCTTTCTTTTGAAGAGACAGCGCCCCGCGTCTCACCTCCTCCCGCCGCTGCCCCCTCCCTCCTCCCCCTCCTCCCATCCGCCTCGTATTCGTCATCGTCATCGTCATCGTCATCATCGTCATCATCATCATCGCCATCGTCATGATCCACATCATCATGATCATCACCATCGCCATCGTCAACGCCGCGCCCCTCACACGCTTCGTGGCACCACAGGGAGCTCCACCGAAGGCCAAAGTG